AAGTACAGGTATGGAGTACTCTCTCCCCTTTTGAGGGTGATCAGTCCTCAAGAGTGAAAGTAACATACCCATAATGCAGAAAACAAACCAGCTCTGATACCAAGCTGTAACACCCTACCCTGTACGTTTTACCTAATCATATTGTTCATACAATTGCAGCGGAATTTAAAACTGGTGTTACATTAATTACCAAAATATACCCAAATAGAATTTCGACATGAATTACTCGCGTAATGGGGTAACAGTTCTTCCATCTGATCCTGCAAAATAATTCATCTAAATCCATGCATTCATAGACAAACATATACACTCACTGCCATATGCATTGGCTTTTCATAGCCATAGTCACAGTTTCATGTTACACAACTGCATACTATACTGATACATGCCATAATCGTCACAACTTACACAGTTACAAAACATATACACATATCATCAACTTTCCACACCTGTGGATATCTCACACTACATCAGAAGCTAGTATGCACATGAAAAACGTTCTCAAAACATTTTACAAAAAAGTGTGGATTACTGGCCAAAATCTCAAGTAGTCGTCCAAGCACAGAATAGTTGAAGACCATACCTCATCTTGACTTCAACTCTAGCTCCTCTCCCACCTAACACCTATCTACTGCTGCTGCTGATGATCTACTTACACATAGCATAAGCAGAGAAAAAGAATAAAAGAGGGTCAGCTCATAGCTGAGTGAGATAATCATAGCATCGTGAGTTCATAACAGAGCATACCCCTACCATACATCTAGCAAACAAGCCAAAGCACTAGGATCAGACCTCAGGCATCTTCATATCCCAATAGGCAAAAGACTCAACCACATTGACTTATGCATATGCGTCTTATCATGTTTTACTTATAGGCGCCTGGCTACTCCCATGCTAATAACTCTCCCGGGAAACATACCCCACATCCCGTCGGATGTAGTCATACATACCCAACATCCCGTCGGATGTGGTCATACATACCCCACACCACTATGGGTGTAGCCATACCCCGACACCGCTCTGGGTGTGGTCATATCTCGTAAGAATTCTTCAGTCACCACCACAAGAGAGGTGTGACTATCATACATATCATAATAGAGTAATAGCATAGGGAGCCCTAATTACTATGTAGTTGACCGTGAGACCACAACACTCATATTTGGTATCATTATACATGATTTATATCTCATCTTGCTTAATCATAATTCATTACTTGCACATGTACTTGACCTGGTCATAATTGGCTCAACATAGGTAAACCAGGAGTCGTATAATTGCACTTCCTCGGGATAAACCCTCGTGCAAGTCATCCTCTTTAAATATCATAATATCACCAGGGAATATATATTTTCCCACTTGTGCATCCAAATACCACAATCATGAAAAAAAACATACTTAATCACCTTCTCGAACCATTGTAAAGCATATTAACAGTCAAGCCCACAATTTGCAACATATACACAATCATCAGCATAAACAAGGTCCATATCGGCTAGGGCAAGTCAATAATATCATACAACAATCCATGGTTCATCATATAGCATAAAAGTCCATACACCCCTAATCATGCCATTCTAGTTCACCTAGGTCAATTCTAAGCATCAATATAATTATCGTGATACGACAAACCCGGTATGCCGTGTTAATCCCTCACCAGTTCTGGTAGTTCAAACACCGGTTCTAGCCTCCCGTACTAAAACGTCAATTTCACGAACGAACCCCGAATTAAAATCCGAGACTGTCCTAATATGCCCTGCAGTATCCCCGTCAATATTAGTTCTAGGCTCGGGTCAAATTCTTGATAAAAAAACATCAAACTCTGGCCGGAGCTAAATTTAGCGATCCTCGCTCCGACCTAAATAATTGCCGAAATTCAGGGATTAGAACTAGAGGATTGATTACCTCGCTGCAGGAAGCTCGTATATGAAATTTGGGCTCAATCCGGCTTCCGGATACTCCGAAACCCTAATTTGGCTTATCGGGAATTCAAGAAATTCCTGAACCAAAATCTCGTTTTAAAACTTTAAATCGATAAATCACGATGTATAGATGGATTAGGCATTACCTACAAGATTTTTGGATCACTAGGGCTCGAAGGTTGGAGCTTTGTAATTTTTACCGAGCTCCCCTGTTCCTGCTCTGCTCGCTCTGGTTTGGAGAAAATGGAAATGCAAATGGAAAACGATGCATGATGGGGAAAAAGAAATGGACACGGGGAGAATATATGTGCGGTCCCGACCGTTACTTGTTTTTATTATTATTAATTATATAATATATATATATATTATATATTATATAATTAATACGTATACTTATCCGATCGATTGATAATCCGTTTTTCGCCGAAATATTGTTAAAACACTCGATTTTAAATCGCGAACTTTCTAGCGATCGAAATATGGGTTTTGCCGGAACGGGATGTTACAATACTGGGTTCAAATCGGAGGGGAGAAGAGGTTTGCCTATCAGGGAGCAATATAGATCTAAAAAAAAAAAACAGAAAAGAAAGTTCCATATCTGGTTTTATTTTGGAATAAACCGACTCTCCCCCGGAAACTACAAGCAGCGGTGACAACATTAACAGCGACAAGCCAAGGAAGATCCAAGAACAACAAAAAGACAAGCAACAGTTTATACCGGAAAAAAATCCCCCACCAAAAGAAGGAAGCACCGATAGCTCGATGGTGGGGAGTCTGTGCAAGGTGAAAGAAGATTTCCTCTGATAGCGATGCAAGGAAAGCTCCAGGAAACTACCAACGATGAGAGGGCCGCAAAAAACCCCAATTCCGGCCGCTGGGACTCCGACCAGAAAGTGGGGAAGTCTCGGTCGCCATCAATAAGTCAAGTGGCCCGCGTCCATATCAGCCCACCAGCGCGCGACCCGCTCTGCACCAACTCAGTTGGGCCTTCATCACCTCGGCCGCGTGCGAACATATCGCGGCCCAAACTCTTCTTCCGCCAAGTCTACTCTCTTCCACATGGGTCCACGCAACTCCAGTCGCGGCCCACGCGGTCCACGTCCCGCTCAACAAACTCGCGCGCGGAGCACACTGGATCCGCCAATCAAGCCCCACGCGGCCCACGTTCCGCTCAACCAACAGATGCACCCGCCCCGCCAGTGTAGCTCCAAGCTCGCGGCCCAAGCATTGCTCGACCGCCCAACTCACGGCGCACAGCCCACCCTGCTTCCGCCTCAACGATAGTCTCGCGGAAGTTGCCCTCTCCAAATGCGCGGCCCGTTCTACCCTTCAGCTCGCGTTTCTGGCCCACCTCCCGCTCTCAAGCCCACTCGCAGCCCGCTCTACCCTTCAGCTCACGTTTCTGGCCCACCTTCCGCCTCAACGCCCCCACTCGCGGCTCGCTCTACCCTTCAGCTCGCGTTTCGCGGCCCACAAGATGCACCCGGCCCGTCAGTGATGCTGTCGCGCGCGAAGCACCCCAAAAATTATGTGTGGGAGACAGGATTCGAACCACTGTTCAACAATTCGCGTACAAGCGAACGGAACCAGTGGACGACGTGACAATTGTTGTCAAATGAGCGCGGAAGGTTTATTTTACCTTTTGCTCGCGCTGCTTCTCCAACTCGCGGCCCACTCACCGATCAGGCTCGCGGAACATGGGCCGCGTCCAACAACACGCACCATCACGTGGGCCCACCAAACGGCAGCCCGAATCCCAACTCGCGGCGGCCCGCGCCGCTTCTGGTCCAACAGGCGGTCCATCATCGCTCCACTCGCGCCAAAAATATTATCGTCGCCGCGAGGACTCGAACTCGCGCCACTCTTCCACAAGACAAGCATCCTTACCAACAAGCTACAAGCGAGCCTTGTGTTTCAATGGTGCGGCGTCTGAATTTTAACATTCGCGCCCACTCAGTTCGCAAGAACAAAAAGTTAGCAATAGTTCCGCACTATTCGCGCCCATTCAGTTCATGAAGAACAAAAAATAGCAATAGTCCAGCACTATTCGCGCCCATTCAGTTCATAAAGAACAAACAATAGCAATAGTCCAGCACTATTCGCGCCCATTCAGTTCATAAAGAACAAAAAATAGCAATAGTTTCGCACTATTCGCGCCCATTCAGTTCATAAAGAACAAAAAATAGCAATAGTCCTGCACTATTCGCGCCCATTCAGTTCGAAAGAACAAAAAATAGCAATAGTCATGCACTATTCGCGCCCACTCAGTTCGAAAGAACAAAAAATAGCAATAGTCATGAACTATTCGCGCCCACTCAGTTCGACGGAACACAAAGTAGCAATAATCATGAATTATTGGCGCCCAAAAAAAAATGACAGAGAGGAGAGCCCAGCAGCTACTCACCATGCCAGCCCACACTCGCGCGTCCCAGGCCCCTTCCAACTCCATCTCGCGGCCCATTTTCACCTTGCCAACCCACACTCGCGCGGCCCAGTCCCCCGCCCAACTCCATCTCGCGGCCCATTTTCACCTTGCCAACCCACACTCGCGCGACCCAGGCCCCCGCCCAACTCCATCTCGCGGCCCAAATCCAACGCCCGCCCGCTTAAGTCCATCTGATCCGCCTATGGCTGGTCGCCGTGCAACTTCAATCGGCCCACAATCCGCGCGTTCTCAGCAGCCTCCATTACCACACACGTGGCCAACAATCTCTCCAAGTGTGCACGCGGGCCTGGCCCGCACTCGCGGATCCAAGTCCGCCCCCGCTCCAAGCACAACTTGCGGCCCAAATCCAACGCCCGCCCGCTTAAATCCATCCGATCCGCTTAACAAGCCCGCGCCACTCTCCGCGTCAAAAATATTATTGCCGCCGCCGGAAATTGAACTCGCGTCCTCCCTCCGCCAGACAAGCAACATCACCAGTAGGCTGCATACGTGCCATGTGATCCTTAGGCGCAACACTCTTATTTTAACAACTCTTCAAGCCGCTTCGCCAACATAAAGCTAAGTACTCTATACCTCTATCATTATTAAATATTGAAATATTTTACTTTCATGAGCGTTAATGGCTAGGGTTGGCAGGAAAACCCGTCAAATCGGATATCCACCCGAACCCGAACTGGTCAACGCGGGTAAAAACCGCATTGACTGGGTTTGGGTCGGGCACGGGTAAAACCCGAACTTGTAATTGGCGGGCACGGGTAGGGTTTGGATATTATGATATCCGCTCCGAACCCGCCCGGTATACCAAAGCTACCCATCCGCCATCCCCGACCCTTCGTCACCAGACACAGCCCCCTCATCCCTCAATTTCGTTTTTCCCCAGCTCCCAAGCCCCAATCAGCGACCGCATTCTGCATTCATTCTGAATTCCGATTCTCAATCTCTCGACTCTCTCGTATCGTCTCTTCGTCTTCTCCAGGGCGCCAATCAATGACGACCAATCCTCCTCTTCCCTCAACCCTCTCTTCTCCATTAAATTCTTTCTTCTCAAGGACTCCATTCTTGTCACTTTGGCAACCAGCGACAGACCAAGCAATCAACCAATCACACCCCCTGCTCGCAAGACAGAACCTCTGTTACAGTGGGGTTAGTTTCTATCCTCTTCCTTTTCCCTTCGTGTTTTAATCTCTTCCTCAACTCGGTTTCTTGAGTTCGATTTCTAAGTTAATTAATGAGACCATGCGCTCGACCCTCTATCCTCAGCTGCAATTGACGCCACACAACCTTCCCCTCCGGCCTCCCTTCCCTTTTACCCAACGGCGAACTATTTCTGGATTCAACCTTCCTCTTCTAACTGTCGTTTTTTTTCTTTCCTCAGGGTTGAACGGCGTCGGCGACTCTCTTCCATGCTGGAGCTGGACAAGACAGCTGGAAATCTAGAATACTGCTTTGTATTGCCCTGTGAAGAAGACGCAAGGAAGTAGGTAATTTTATTTGTTGTTTTTCATATGATGTTGCTGATTACTTGCTTCTGCAATTTTTATTTTAGATCAATATATGTTACTGCTCTTGGAGGCAGGAGGTAAAAGTTAATATATTTGTGCTATTGATATGAGATTCCCTACTGCTGCTTTGTTTTTCCTATGCTGCTGCTCTGTTGAGATTTTTAAATCAATGTGGTTGCTTTGTTTTACCATATGTTGTTATTCTGTAGTGATTGTTTACATGTTTGTGTTCACTTGTAGGTAAAAGATGGCTCAAGAGGTTGCTGCTACTAATGCACAAGCACAAAATCAGCAGGCTGCTGCTACTAATGCACAAGCACAAAATCAGCAGGCTGCTGCTACTAATGCAGAACCACAAAATCCAATACCCACACCTGCTGGTGATGATGAAGAAGTTCTTGAGTTGGGAAATCTCAAGAGTGACGTGTGGAAACACTTCACAAAGATAAAGAAGGGAGAGCTTATCAAGGCTAAATGTAACTATTGCAAGAAGTTGCTTGCTGGTGAGTCCAATAACGGTACTTCCTACTTGAGAAATCATTTGAGGACATGTATGCAAAAAAGGATTCAAGATGGGAAGCAAAAGGTACTTGGTACCAACTTTGTCTCTAAGGGAAAAAGAGAAATGGTTGCCACTCAGTTCAGTCAAGCTGTTTCTAAGCAAGATCTTGCTGTTGCAATTGTTATGCATGAATACTCTTTGTCGATTGTGGACCATTTATACTTTAGGAAATTTTTGTCTGGCCTCCAGCCCTTGTTTAGTGTTCCTACTAGGAATACTATCAAAACTGAAATTCTTAAGATATTTGAGAGTGAAAGGAGCAGACTCATGAAAATGGTGGGTAGTAACAAGGGCAGGGTTGCCATAACGACTGATATGTGGACAGCAAGCAACCAGAAAAAGGGTTACATGGCTATTACGGCTCATTACGTGGACAATTCTTGGATTCTTCGAAATCACATCCTTAGGTATGATATCTATTATATAATTTGACTTCTATCTTGTTTATTTATTGAGAAGAATTCACTATTTTAACATATTTTAATGCTGTATTTTCTTGTATGTAGGTTTGCTTATGTTCCAACTCCGCATACAAGTGGTAGGCTGGCTAAAGTTTTGCTAGACTGTATGATGGATTGGAATGTCGATTCTAAGGTATCAACTATAACCTTGGATAACTGTAGCACCAACGATTCCATGATTGAGAAGGTTAAGAATAAATTGGTGATGCCTTATTTGCTTAAGGGGGGTGCTTTATTACATATGAGGTGTTCTGCACATGTTCTAAACTTGATAGTCAAAGATGGGTTGGATGTGCTTCGAGATGGCATTGAAACAATTCGTGATAGTGTAGCTTATTGGACTGCCACACCTAAGAGAGTAGAGTCATTTGAAGGAGCAGCAAAACAATTGGAATTTTCTTGTGTTAACAAGTTGATTTTGGATTGTCCAACTCGCTGGAATTCAACCTATCATATGCTTGCTGCTGCAATACCTTACGAATCTGTGTTTATTAGACTGAAACAACGTGACTCTCACTATAATTGTTTGCCTACGAGTGATCATTGGGCATTTGCATCAATTGTTTGTGAGAAGTTGAAAATATTTAGTGAGATATCTGATTTGTTTTCTGGCACCAAGTATCCCACTGCCAATCTGTTCTTTCCAAAGATATGTGATTTGAAGCTCAAACTTTGTGAGTGGCTCGTTGATGATCATGCTATGATTTCTAAGATGGGTGAATTGATGTGGGTTAAGTTTTGCAAATATTGGGAAGATTTTCATGAATTATTGGCAGTGGCTGTTGTGTTGGATCCGAGATATAGGATTCATATTGTTGAGTATTATGCTCCGAAGTTTCGAATGGGTGAGTGTGTCTTGGATGTGGTCAAAATCAAGGATATTTTGAATGATTTGTTCATGGAGTATCAGACTAAACTGAATAAGAAGTCCGGAGTTGCTTCTAGTGGTTCAAGTGGCCAGTCAATTGGTGGTTCTTCTTCTGTGGATCTGGACTTTCAGCTGTTTGTACAGCAAAGAAAAAAGTCGAAAGGAACACCTACTCAAACTGAATTAGAGAATTATTTGGCTGAGGAAGTCTTACCTTGGAGTGCTGATCTCGATGTTTTGTTATGGTGGAAGCTAAATGGGGCTAGGTATCCTATTTTGCAAGAGATTGCAAGGGATATCCTTGCTGTCCCTGTTACCTCTGTTGCATCTGAATCGGCTTTTAGCACTAGTGGTCGATTGTTGGATCCCAATCGTTGCAAACTTCATTATACAACTATGGAGGCATTGATGTGTAGTAAAAGCTGGCTTCAAAATTCAGTTTCGATAGGTATATTTCTTATTCAATAGTTTTTACTTGTTTATAGTCATTTTACTTTATATAACATTCTTTTGTTCACTTGTACAAACTAGGAGCTGACTCTGGATCTTTGGATGAGCTTTGTGCATTGCTCAATGATGGGCAGCATGAAGATGACGTGGAAGGTTAGTGATTTACTATAATGTTAATAGTGTATTATATATGTGTGTGTTACAACTGGAAATGCTCATATACATATTTTTTTGTATATGTAGATCAACAACTGCGGAGTGACAAATATGCATTTAACTTGCTTGAAGATTGATGAATGATTGATTTTTGGTGCTGTACTGTGTTTGTATTCTGCTGGAGTAGGCTGCTGGAGTCTTCTGAGTTATTTTTGGAAATCTGTTGGGATTTTGTTATTATTTTGTTGCTGGACCTATCTGCTGGAAATCTGCATGTATGCTGGAATTTTGCTGCTGCAAGCTGCTGGGATCATCTGGAATCGTCTGGGATTTACTGGAGTTTTGCATGAATTTTCTGGAATTTTGCTGCTAGAATTTTGCTGCTGGAAGAAGTCTGATTATCTGCTGGAATTTTGTTGCTACAAGCTGCTTGAATCAACAGGGATTTACCAGAGTTCTGCTGGGATTTTCTAGAATTTTGATCCTGGAATTTTGCTGCTGGAAATCTGATTATCTCCAGGAATTTTGCTGCTGCAAGTTGCTGGAATCAGCTAGAAACTTTCTGGAATGTTTCTGGGATCCTCTGGATTTTTTTTTTGGATTTTTATGTTGGAATTGTTTCTAGAATTTCTAAATTCTGCACTTTGAACTTGGTTTAAATGTTAAAGTTGGTGTTATGTTAATTATCATATTGAGTAATTTATTTAATTTTGTTATGGAATTATTTGGTTTGATGAACTAAGAAGGGAAGAAAGACGAGTTGGGATCTGGGCGGGTATCCACGGTCTTTCGGGTAATACCCGTACCCGTTCGGGCATGGGCATGGCCATGGATTTACTATCCATCCTCCTATTTCGGGCGGGTTCCGGTTTTAACGAATAACTTCTCGGGCGGGTATTGGATACCCACTATCCGTGCCCGCCCAGACCCATTGCCAACCCTATTAATGGCGCTAATGGGGGGGCAAGACGCAAGAAGCTGGCACCGCGTCAGTCAAACGCGCCACCAGCTGGGGGGCAACTGGGGTACATAGGGCCCCACCCAAAATTATCGACGAAGATTTAAAAAATAAAATATAAGCTAGTGATGAGTTAAAACTCACCACCAGCTTGGGGGGCAATTGTTGGGGGTGTTGCTAAGAGACTCCCAGCAGAGACTAAGTAATACCGCGTCCAATCGACAGCGGATGACGCTCTAAATCCGCTACGAGTATATAAAGGTATGAAACCCACCAAGGTGGAGGACTTCTCCCCTCTCTCCTGACTTTCCACTTTCTACTATCTTTCTACACTTTATCTCTCTATCTATTCTCTCAACTTCTCCACAAACAGACACTGACTTGATCGTCGGAGCTTAATCCGGGGGGCAACCCCGGCTCTTTCGCCAGGTTCTCTCCCTCCCGACGAGATCGGACGAACGGATGAGGAGTCAACCCACAACAACAAATATCATTGTTCGTGTCCTGAGCTAGATGGCACAAACAGATATTAATCGTTTTCATATATTTTTTTAACCGACATGAACTGATTATACCACCAATCGTACCATTTCACTCGCCAAATCGGCATAACAGTATAAACCGGTTTGATAACCTTGCTTGTGAGGTTGCCTATCTTCCAAATATAGAACACCATGATATGTATTTCTTAATATATAGTAGCTTATTAAAATTTTCAAGAAATATACTTATTGTTTCATTTAAGAAATGAACTACATTTTTATATAAAATTTCCCTTATGATAGTTTATATATATTAAATCCTCCTCATTTAATCTTAATTACAAATCGACAATTTACTAGAACTTGTAAGTTTAAAATAAGAAATTTAAATTTTAAAATTATTGCCTTCTCCTCTTCAGGAATAAAAGCAAAGCTACCCATAAAAAAACAAAGCTTAAAGAGCAAACCAATTTGCCATGTGGCCCGGTTGCAGATTCCCACCTCCCAATCATGCAAAAATATAAATCCCTATTAAAAATACTTCTCTAACCTTCCGCATTGTGCGGTATAGTGTAGAGGTGTTGATGCAGCAAATTCTATATATGTTGACATTCGTTTATACTATTGTGTATATCATGAGATTGAATGTGTTAATCAACAACTCACTCATGTGTATTGTGCTTTTTTATTATCTTAGAATGACCAGTCGGAAACGCAACGACATTTATTTTTTGAATGCAGCTGGAGCGGCCGGTTGTGGAGAAGCACTCCTTGGTCGAGGGCCATTAATTTGGTAGGCGTGGCTGATTGCATGGAATGGTTTCGGAAGGTTCTCAAAGATGAACCCAAGGAGATAGTTGAAAAATGGGTGATGATTTTATGGGCGCTATGGAAAGAGAGGAATGCGCAGCTATTTAATGGCCAAAAGTGGCCGGAGGATGAGATCATCATGAAGGCAATCTCTATCCTAGAGGAATTCCAACTGAATCAAGGAAGGGGATGTGAAGAGGCAGCTACACAACACCAAATGGCTTGGTCTCCACCGCCAAAGGGATGTATTAAAATCAACACCGATGCTGGCATCCTACCTGGGGAGGGAGTCGGGCTGGGGGCAGTGTTTATAGATCATACCGGTCGGTTCTTAGCTGCTGCTGCGAAGAGAATGCGAGGGTCCTATGGCGTTGAGCTCGCTGAAGCCATTGCGGTTGAATTTGGTGCCCAATTGGCGGCCCAACTGGGGTATCGCAAGCTAATTATTGAGGTGGATAGCTTAACCTTGGTGGAGAAGTTTGCTAAGGCAGCCGAGGTTGATAATAAAGTGGGCTTAATTTGCAGAAGCATGTCGAAGTATCTCCGGGACACTGGGTCTGAGAATGATCGTATTAGCCATGTTAAAAGAACGACTAATAGTGCGGCTCACATTATGGCTCATAGTAAGACGAACTGGGAGAGTAGAGAAGTGTGGATTGACAGGCTGCCGATTTTCCTTGTTGACCAGCTGGTGCTGGATAATGTAACCCCAATTTTACCTTAATAAAGCTACAGGTTACCCGTATAAAAAAATTTATCTTAGAATGATTTAGTGTGCTCGAGGTGAAGTTGAGTTTCTTATGATAATGTGTAGACACTGCAAATAACTATTATTCTGGAGGAGATAATAATTGTAGACACTGCAAATAACTATTATTATGGGTATGGTCTCACATGAAAAATGAGATTAATGCATTGAGTGTCATGTTTGGCTCGTTTATAAAAGGAGTATCGAGGAACCGTTGGAGGCATCGAGGCAGGTCCCCTTTGGTTTCGCAGGTCATCGATATGGTTGGATGGCTCCATCATTATGTTTTGGTGCTTTTTTGGATCCTCGTCCCATGGATTCAGTTGGTTGGAAGAGATGATGCTTCAGGCCTTTGGCATCGATGGTTGTTAGCAGCATTTGCGGACATGCCCCCGTGTTGTGTTGATCCATGTTTGAGCTCTTTGGCATGAGCATATTTAGTTTATGGTCATTTTTTTGGGCCTTTTGGATATGTTTTCTTTTGCCCTTGTTGTACGATGTATCTAGATTTTTCCATTGAATTCGTCTCATTTGCTCACTTAATGAATTGTTTAAAGAGAAAAAAATATTTCAAACTATCCCAAGTCTCTCAAAACCAATTATTTATGATCTATGCTTATATACCGCTTCAATTAAATTGATGTAGTCAATAACGTAAAAGTTAAATATTAGGCTTTATGCTGGTTCTCATGTTGAATTTCAGCTTCAATTTGTGCAAAACCCCTATCAAGTAGGGAATGTTTTGTGCTGGTTGATAAAGTCACTAGTAGAATCAGAAGCTGGAGGGCTAGTAGACTGTCTTATATTGGTAAACATCAATTAGTGGAATCAGTTCTGTATTCTCTGATTCACTATTGGATGACAATCTTTCTTATCCCTAAGAAGGTGCTCAAAAGCATACAAAAAATATGCTCTGATTTTATCTGGCATGGGGACAAATCAGGCAGAGCCAAAGTGGCATGGGATTCTCTGGCTATTCCTAAGAAAGAGGGAGGTCTGGGGTTGAAGGATCTGCTATCCTGGAATGTTGCATCATTGGCTCGTCTTATTTGGCTGCTCCTGCTTCAGGGAGGAAGCTTTTGGGTGGCCTAGATTTATCGTTATAGACTCAGAGGAGTCTAAGTTTGGGAAGCGAGATATACATCTTTAGGCTCCTAGATCTGGAAACAAATTCTAAAAGTCAGATCATTGTTGAGGTATAGAATGGAAGTGGATCAAGGCTGTGTTACATGGCAGGGTAAGAGACTGGAAATTTTTCAATCTCAGCTGTTTGGGAAACAATGAGAAGGAGGCAGCCTCGGGTCAGTTGGTGGAAAGTAATTTGGAATAAGCATGTTTTACCTCGAAATAGTGTTCAGGTCTGGTTAATCATACTAGACAGAATTGCTACTAGAGACAAGCTCAAACTGTGGGGTATTATTCATGATAGTGTCTGTGTGCTTCGTGGAGCAACAAAGGGATCTCGTAATCATTTGTTTTGACAGTGTGTTTATTTGCAGGAAGTGGTTTCTACTTTACTGCATGGTGTGGTTGTGTTCCCAGGGAGTTGGTTTACTCTGCTGATGTTTATTGTCTCAAGAGTCCAAACAAATGGTGGGGGCGATTGAAGCTTCCATTTGGTGATGGTGCGTTTGCTATGTTTGGAAAGAAAGATGTCGCAGAGTTTTTGGAGAGCTGCCTCGTATTGCTACAGTGCTAGCTGAGCAATTGAGGGAGGAGATTAGGCTTTATGCTTGTTCTCATGTTGAATTTCAGCTTCAATTGTGCAAAACCCCTAGCTGCTGTAAATGTTTAATTGACTAGGGTTATTTTTGTTGCTTCCTTGTGAAGGATTCTGGTGGGCGGATACCTGTGTATTTTTCGAGCTCTTGTGCTGTTTTTAACTAAGAGGGTGCTTAATGGTAAAGTCTAATTACCGGAAAAAAATATTATTTTTTGAGCAATCATCAATCGTAACCATTTTGTAATTCTAAAATGTTAGGTTGGAGTTTCATGTATAACAAGGTGACAAATTCCAAACAGAGTAACAAAAGGGTAATCAACTACTCTAACTTGCTAGCTTTTCCCCTAATCTCAGCCTGGTTTCATGAAATTTCATCATCAAGAGTTTACTAAGGGGTCGTTTGGAAGTTGTGATTGTTAGAGTTGTGATTGTTGAATATATGTATTGTGAACAATACAATGTTTGGATGTGTCAAAGTGTAAAACAATGCATGCATTGTTTTAGGTAGGTTCCACCAACAATCACAAAAAATGATGCATTATACAATCTCAACTAAAAGTTGAGATTGTTGTGATTGTTGGTTTTAGATTTGTGTCAACTTTTTCTTTCCATTTATATCCTTAATAGTTTTTGTCTTATTCTAAAAGTTGAGGGTAAATGTGATATTTCTCCCTAAAGTAACTTTATGGAAATCAATGCATAAAATAGAATCTCAACAACCAAACAATGTATTGTTAAAATACATCTATTGTATCAATACATGCATTTATATTATGGTGATTCATTACAATGCAACGATTTAACATTCACAACTTCCAAACGACCCCTAAAGTTAGAAGGTGATAAATGTTGCGCACGCATTGGGAGGCACTTTCCAGTTTCCATTGGCAAGTTGAAACAATTGTTTTTGGTGTTAAGCCAATGAGCTCAACCAAACGTGCATGTCTTCTAGTGCAACAACGTGGTTCTCTGATCTCAACCTCGACATCGATTGGCGCACCTAATCAAAATATTACCATATCATATTCCCCTCACCCCACCATTCATGGAAGTCCCCGTCAGAATCCCCAAAACAACGAAACAAGCAGGCGAACAAGCTCTGCAACACAAACAGACACTACCCATTAGTCAACTACAGTCCAAAGGTAGGTGGTTCCTCACTTCCTCCGTCTTCCTTTCATCTCCCCTTTTCTCCGATTTGATCGGTGCCTTTCTCCCTCCAATCGAACTTTACAGTTTCACGATTTCCTGATCTGGGTCGTTTTCCTTCGTGAATTTGGATTGCGGGGGCAGTGGCGCTTTTGACTTCACAATGAAGCTGACTCCCAAGGAAGTGGATAAACTGGGACTCCACAACGCTGGATTCCTCGCTCAGAAGCGCCTCGCTCGCGGCCTCCGCCTCAATTACACTGAATCCGTCGCTCTTATTGCCTCTCAGGTATCTTGTTTCTCGCCTTCATGCGATGTGTAGTGTTTAGGAATTATGTTGTGAGAAAAAACAATGGGGGTTTATCTTGAATTAAAGTTATATTTCTGGGTTTTTTCGGCTTTGCAGATATTGGAGTTTGTTCGAGATGGAGACAAGAGCGTGGCAGAGTTGATGGATGTTGGGAAACAGTTACTGGGAAGGTAATCCTTTGTGAGCTTTTGGAAATGAGAATACCACTGTACTGTTTTTTCCTACTTAAAGCTACTATTACTTAAAGTTGCATACCAGTGAATGTTCTCCCAGACCCTTGCAATGTCGTGTAACTTGAATTAGATTTATCCTGACTGTGGCTTTTTTTGGGGGTGTATGGGAACAGGAGACAGGTTCTTCCAGCTGTTCCTAATCTTCTTCATTCTGTACAGGTACTATGCTTGTTCATCTATAAGTTTGATGGTCCAAACAAAGCCTCTTTTAGTAACCGCTTGATATGTTGCTTTTGGCCGCAATGATGATATTTGATGAAATATGAAACTAGAGAATCTTCTATTGTCTTATGAAGTTGATCAAAAGTGCAGGTTGAGGGAACTTTTCCTGATGGAACCAAGCTAATCACTGTTCATGATGCTATTGCTAGCGAAAATGGGAGTCTAGAGCTGGCTTTGCACGGTTCTTTTCTTCCTGGTAATGTCTGACATCAGAAATGCTGTGGATTTGACCGAGGTTTCCTGCAAGATGCACCATATATCTAGTTGTTGTCAGAGTAGTTGCAGTCTTGTGAAAGTGAACATGGCTGACACATGGTATTTTACTGGTACATGATGGAAGATGATTTAATAATGCAGTTCCGGCACTCGATAAGTTTCCTGGGATACAGGATGCCGAATTTCCTGGCGAGATCATATATGGAGACGGGAGTGTAACGCTTAATCCGGGAAGAAGAGCAGTAATCCTGAAAGTTACCAACTGTGGAGACAGGCCAATTCAGGTGCTCTTTTAGCTAGACTTTTTCTTTGACAGACTTTTGACATGGGGTTGATTTAGTTTGAATGCCTTATGATACCAACTTAATTCAGGTTGGCAGCCACTACCATTTCATTGAGACGAATCCTTACTTGCTTTTCGACCGATTGAAATCAGTTGGGATGCGACTCAACATACCAGCTGGAACAGCTACAAGATTCGAGGTAAATGTTTTATTCCTGATGGTCATAATAGTTTTTGCTCCTCATCAATCAGTTTTCCATGTTGATATGGTCCTACTTTGCCAGCCAGGTGACTGTAAGAGTGTCATACTTGTTAGTATTGGAGGTAAAAAGGTAATTAGAGGTGGAAATGCTATCATTGATGGCTCTGTTAGTGATAGCAGTAACGATCTCATATTGGAGGCTATACAAGCTCGAGGATTTCGGCATCAAGAAGAAGCAAATGCCAGGTTCTGAACTTTCACCCTAACGTACTTTTCTTTCGTTGGGGGTTTTCCGAAAGAGGGTTGTATATCATAATCTGTATAGAGAATTCGTTTTCAAATCTCTCACTCCGTATGTCAATCCACATATACAAATGACTCATCAGAACAAGAACTTTCCCAAATCTTACTGTTCGCAAAATCCATCCAGTGCAAAAATCGCGCATCCAAATGACCCCTTATTACTTGAATTCCTTTCAACTGAGTCTTACTACCTAGATTACTGCAAACTGTTGCAGAGAAGGCATAACTGGAGAAGATCTTGCTTTCACCACGGTCGTTCCTCGTGAGGCGTATGCTAACATGTATGGGCCCACTACTGGTGACAAGATTCGTCTTGGGGACACTAATCTCTATGC